CCCCAAAACCCCAAAACCCCAAAACCCCTCATTTTGAAAAATTGTTATTGTCAGGAATAAATATTTAAAAATCAGAAACTCAAAATTAATTTGTTATATTAGAAGAACTTCTAGTGCTCTATCTTCTTGGCTTCACCTCCTTAAAAGCATATAAGTTTTTCTTTTATTTATCAGTAAGTCCTTTAGTTTCCTTAACAAATTTATAGCAAAATATAGCTCCAAAAGCACAAATACCACTAGCAACAAAATAAATAGGCGAGTGCATTCCTTTTACTAGCTGAGGAGTCCCAAATGTTACAACTATTAATGTAATCCATTAAACTAAAGAACTCATGCCTAAGTTAATCTCCACACTCACCTCAACTATGTAAAGCCAGATTATTTAGCCATTCAAAAGCTAGAAGACGATAATGAAGGTTAATGCACAGACATAGGAAAAGTAAGCAGCTTCACTGGCAACACCGATACCAATAACAATATTAAAGAGAGTAAGAATGCAATATCCTGCGATAAGAACAGTTTTCCTCTCAAATCTCCGAGTTATTTCAATCGATACTAGACTTGCAACTAAAATTAAACTGGCAATCAGCCAATTATTTTCATTTGAATTCATCGTTGTATGACCAGAAGATGAAATATTTCTCAGCAAGTATCTTGAAAGGAGATTCACTTATTGATAACCAGATATTTGATGCATTACAGCTAAGACAATCAGAACCAAAGTTCCCCTTCTATACTTTGGACTAATAACTGCTTTCCTATATGAAACCTCTAGGGTGTCCAAATGAAGAGATTTTTATAAGTACTCAAGCACTTCTTGCTCAGTGTGAGAATAATGATAAATTTGCCTAATGGCTTTCTTGGCTTTGCCTATTTGCTTTTTAATTATATGATACTTCACAGAATCATGATGGATTATCAACTTGACTCCAAGAAAAAATAGAATGTACAGAAATATTGCATAGCCAATCACAAATCTCCAATATCCAGTATGAGTCAGTTCATCTATATTATTATCTTCTGGCATTCCAGTGGCAATAATCAGAACTATGAATCGAGCAGAATTAATCGAGAAAAAATAGAGTGGCAGTAGAAAACTTATCTTATCAGCAGGAACAATCTCCTCAATATATCGAGTGATGGACATTTAATGGATCCCACATGCTAAGCCTTGAATAAATCTACCAATTAAAAGCATGCTGAAATCTTCAAACATTTAAATGATAACTCCAACCATCCCAATATAAATGCCTACTAAAATGCTTTATCTTCTACCCTGATGATCCATTAATGGTATTGCTAAGACATAAGAGCCTAAGGCTATTCCAAGTAATGCTATAGTTGCTAGAATTCCTGATAAGACTTATCCGTTGTCATTAGTCCACCCAAGTTTCAATCCAAGGGATTTATCTATTGGACCCATACATGACATCAAATATCCAATTTAGATGCCTCCAATACTCAAAACTGCTATCAATTTAAGCAGATACCATATCTAAACCCTAAATACCTTAAGTTCTACTTCAGGTTCTATGCTTAATAATGGTTCATCTGATTTGCTATTTAGCTTCCCATGATTATAGGTATGAGAATTTAACTGCAATGAATCTTCTTGATTTATATCAGTTTCATCCTTATCTTCTGGAGGATTATTCCATTGAGGAGTAAGATCAGTGCTAATTTTGTTATCAAGTTTTTCCCAGTACTCGTGAGCATCCTTAGTGTAGTCTGTAATTGAACTGGATCTTTCACTATCTTCATCTTCATTTTATATGCCAGTTTTAATATCATTCTACTTCATTATTTCTGCTGACAACTTCATTTCTTCGTGCTCCATGATATTCTGATTCATTACAGAAATTAAAATATTTTAGCAATAATAATATCTTTTTATTTTAATATTTATTTTTTATTTATTAATTTTAGTAAGAAGGGGTTTTGGGGTTTTGGGG